AGGCCCACCGCCGGGCTCCCCCGCGTGCGTGGCTTACTCGGGGCCTGCTGCTCTCTCCTGAAGCTCAGGAAGCTGGACGAGGCGATCGCAGACTGCACGCGGGCTGTGACGCTGGACGACACGTACATCAAGGCCTACCTGAGGAGAGCTCAGTGGTGAGTGAGGTGTGGCCGGGGAGCGGCAGTGGCCACAGCGGGCCGGCGCGGCGTGAGGTCATTGGTCCTTCCCTGCTCTAGGTGGGCCTGCTGCAGCCGAGCCTGTCTTTACAGACTGCGGCGAGGAGGTTGCGCCGCGCCCTCAGGCTCCCCAGCCTGCGCTAGCCCCGCGCTCAGTAAGTCTCCTCCCTCCAGCCTCGAGTCCGCCTCCCTGGAGCTGCGTCCGCGTGGTCACCTCCCTCGCTCGCACGGTGCTCAGCCCGCGGGTGCTCACCCGGGAATGTTCCTGGTTGGACGCTTGGGAGAAGGCTAGGGCTGCTGCTGCGGCTGGCTCCATCACAGGCAGCCAGGAGCTGCCTCCTGAGGTGCCCGGCTGGGCAGCCATGCTGTGCCGGCGCAGTGACCCGAGAGCCAGCTGCCAGGGACCCCGACCCTGTTCTTACTGTCGGACCCGGCGGAGCATTTTCTGCAGACAGCGTAGCTGCCACGGGTTAGCGCAGACCCTGTCAGACGCCGTTCCTCCTCAGACCAAGTCTGGGCAGCGGCTTCCTGCACCTGGAGCCGGAAGGAAGGCAGATGTGTTGTGCGCCAGTCTCCCCACGCCCTCTGCCTTCCTTACTGTACCCGGTGGCGTCCCTAGCTGTCCCCCTTCAGATAGGAAGACGAGGCCGCGGCGGGGCTTAGTTCCCAGTGAGGTTGGTGGGTGGCGAGGTCTCTGAAGAATGCAGGCTGCACCGTCCCAGGGGCCTGACGCCGCTGGGGACAGAGGCTGCAGCCTTGGGAGACAGTCTGTCCTGGGAGCCAGCCAGACGCCCTGACAGACCCGCCGTGCTGCTCCCAGACGGCGTGGGCTGCGGCACCGTTGACGCGGCCGAAAGGGAGAAACACCTGCTCCGAGCGGGCAGGACGCCCTGTCGCCCATGTCACGCTCCTGCGTTCAGCAGGGAGTGGGCAGTGCTGTGGCTGACTGGGTAGGAAGATCCGGGCCGGGCCCGGTCTGTGCAGTCTGTGTCTTGGTTGCTTTCTTGCAGCTGGGACGAGCACCCAGCGCCCACAAGCACACAGGGAGCACTGTTTCTACTCAATTTGGGTCCAGCTTGCAGGCCGTGGTTGGCTGTTGCAGGGCAGGGCGGCCAGCAGAGGAGAAGCTGCGCAGGGCCCAGCGGGCAGGAAGGAGGACCTGGGAGGAGAGCCAGGCTGTGCCCCAGTGGGCCTGAACGTCACCCCACCCAGGCCCCTCCAGAGCTCCTCTGTGAGTGCCACAGCACTTGGGCGAGCCCAGGTCAGCAAGCCCCTTCTCCCTGCTAGACACAGCTGTTCTTGGAGGGGCTCTGCTTTGGGACCCCACCTCAGGGGCCTGCACAGTCTGGCCATGGGTGGGCAGCACACCTGGGACAGCTGGCATGGACAGAGCTCCCACCTGGCCGGGTCTGGCAGTGGAGAAGGCTGGACGTTAGCACACCTCCCTGGCTCCGTGGAGCCCCCACTTGGCGTGGCTACTTCTTTTCAACCTATCGGGGCGTGGTGGCACATGTCTGTATTGTCAGCAGTGTGGGAAGCTGAGGCAGGAAGATGGCAAGCCCAAGCCCATCTGGGCAGCTTACAAACTTAGCGAGCCGTTATGGTAAAGAGGGCTGGAGGCTTAGCTTGGTCCCGGGCCCTGGGTTCCATCCCCAGTACTGTGGGAAGCGGGAGAGAAAAGGTGCAGACCCTTCGTCAGCAGAGACAGCGAGTTACTGCAGCACGCCTTCCTTACTGCGCGGCTTGGGACTTGGGCCCAGGCGTGAGCGAGGCCAAGGGTGCTGAGCCCCCTCCGGCCAGCAGACTGGCGCCCAGACCTCGAGGTCTGCAGACGGCCCGCAGCTAGATGGGGCCTGCTTGGTGCAGGGATCTTGTCAGGCCTTCGAAGGTGCCTCTTGCTTCTGTGGGAAGCCGCGGTTCCCACGGCGGGCCATAGAGTGGAGCCCGCCTTGGCCCAGGAGCCCTTTCCACCGCGACGCTGCCTGTGCCTCCCGTTGGCTCACCACCGCCCCTGGCGAGGCCCAGGAAGGTCTGCCCACAGCCGCCCCTTGCACTGCCTCTTCCGGCCGCGCCTCACCCCACTCGCTTCCGCCCCACCTGGCCTGCTGCTCTCCGCAGCTCTGCGCCACGCGCTCGGGCCTCCACTCGTGGGCCCTGTCGCTCAGCGGGCGTCACGCCCCCTCCCTTGGAGCTGCCTGATCCCGAGTCTGAGCGCCCGCCCTGTGTTCTTCCCCAGCTACATGGACACAGAGCAGTACGAGGACGCCGTGCGGGACTACGAGAAGGTCTACCAGACGGAGAAGACGAAAGGTGACGGGCTGGTGTCCACCTCCCCGGGGCTGTGGTCATGGGGCTCAGCATGGCCGCCAGCCGGGAAGCGGTGATGCAGTCCTGGTAGGGGCATGGGCCCCCGGGTTCTGTCCCGAGTCCCCCGTCACCCACCTTTGCCGTGTGGCTGCCGCGAGGACCAAAGCACGAGAAGTGCGCCGGCCCCCGGAAGAACGCGCCGAGCAGCCGCTGAGTTCCGGCGGCCAGAGTCACTGTGCCCTTGGGTACTGCCTGTCTCCCCAGAGCACAAGCAGCTCCTAAAGAACGCGCAGCTGGAACTGAAGAAGAGCAAGCGGAAAGACTACTACAAGATCCTGGGGGTGGACAAGAACGCCTCTGAGGACGAGATCAAGAGAGCCTACCGGAAGCGGGCCCTGATGCACCACCCAGGTAGGCAGCGGGGGGCAGGACGGCGGGGGGCGGGCTGAGACCCTGGCCTGGTCTGAGTTCCTGCTCCTGCCTGCAGATCGGCACAGCGGAGCCAGCGCCGAAGTGCAGAAGGAGGAAGAGAAGAAGTTCAAGGAAGTGGGCGAGGCCTTCACCATCCTCTCGGACCCCAAGAAGAAGACGCGCTATGACAGTGGCCAGGACCTGGACGAGGAGGGCATGAACATGGGCGGTGCGTGGGCTGCGCCCCGGTGGGGCTGCCCCAGAGCCTTTGGGGCCTGCCCGTAGCGCAGGGACCTGGGCCTGTCCCGGTGGGCAGTGTTGGGTGTGAGGCTGGCTGCCAGGTTCTGGGGGAGACGGAGGTCGGATCTGTTCCCTGCCTCCAGGGAACCAGTCTGCATCTGCGGCCTCCATCCCTGGGCCAGATGCTACCCCGGGTCTATGCGCAGGGACAGGCGTGGAGTGGAGCAGACGTGGCCCTGTGCTGAGTCCTGCAGGGCTGAGAAACCCGGGTTCTGGGGCGTGCACAGGCTGGGCGGGTCGGGCCAGAGGGCTCTGCGGTGCGGGCAGTGGACGACGCCTGTTGGCAGCAAGGCTTGGCTTACACGGAGGACACGCGCTGCTGTTGGCGGGCACCGAGAGCAGACAGGCACTGCTCTGCAGCCCTCTGCTCCTGGCGCGGGGCGTTGGGGCAGTGACCTGAACTCGGGACGTGCGTGAGGGGAGGCGGGGAGGGCGTCTGTCACAGCCGGCGTTCGCTGAGCAGCTGGTGGCTCCTGCCCAGCCCAGCCTCGCCCCGGCCGGTCCAGAGGGCACTGTGGACTGACACCAACGGGTCTTGTTCCCAAGCTGACAGTGGTGGCATTGAAGGGAAAGGGGCAGCGTAAGCGAAGCGACGTTCGGGCCGTTGCAGTAGGGAAAGCTTTGTTCCCTCCACCGCCCTGGAAGGGGCAGGGACCCAGGCTGGCAGGAGAGGGGTGCTCGTGGGGGTGGGGCGCCGCCAGGCCCCTGGACCTGCTAACGTGGCCGCCTCCCCCTTCCTTGCTGCCAGCAGATTTCGACGCCAACAATATCTTCAAGGCTTTCTTCGGGGGTCCTGGGGGCTTCAGCTTCGAAGGTGGGTGTGCCTGCAGGCCCGGGCTGCTCTGGGGCAGAAGGGCCTGTGCGGGGGCAGGGGGGGTTCCCAGAGGTCAGCTGGCCCTGCAGGGCGACAGTGCCCATGCTGAGGCTCCTGTGTGAGGTGTGCGGGGCTCCGCCTGGCACACCAGGGCCCCGTAGCCAAACACTGCCAGGTGTGGGCTGCACAGCCCTCGGCAGGGCAGAGCGGGTGACCCGTCCCTTTGCCTTCCAGCGTCTGGTCCGGGGAATTTCTTCTTCCAGTTCGGCTAATGAAGGCCACCCCTCCAGCCCTGCACGCACAGACTCACCTGGCCCCGCCTCGAGTGTGGACACAGCCACCTCCCCGTCCTGGCTCCGCACGCAGCTCTGCCGCCAGCCGGCCGTGCCGTCGCCGTGCTTGAGCAGGGCAGGAGGGAGCTGTGCTGCGGACGGGGAGGCAGCTTGTGAATCTTTGTTTTACTGTTTAACTTTATTAAAAAAGAAAACCGGAGAAAATAAAGCATTGTGACTGTGTCTGCCCTTGGTTCTGGCAGCTGCTTTTGCCCGCTCGAGTCTGGCTGAGCTGAGCCCGGCACAGCGTGACCCGGGTGCTCCGGAGGCCTGGCACGCAGGCCTGGCCCGCGCGGAAGCGGATCCCTGCGGTGGGCAGCCCCGCAGCCTGGTCTGCAGTCGCCGTGAGGAGGCTGGGCTGGGACGGAGCGACGGAGTCGGGGAGGCTCTGGCTGACACCCACTGTGCTCCCGAGCCCCTCCGTTGTCCTGCCTTGGCCCCAGTGAGGTGGGTGCCCCAGCCCCTGTTCCCAGCCGGCCCCACTGCGCGTAGCCCTCGGCCGCCCTCCTGCCCCATGAAAGCCAGTACTGTTCGCCGCCCACCTCGCCAGCTGTGTGTGGCCAGCCCAGGGGACAGGACCGACTGCCCCAGCTGCGAGCAGGACAAAGCCGGCTGACCTACCCCGCCCTGGCCCAGGACGCCTCCGAGAGACCACACAGCTGGGATTAACGCGGTTTATTTCATTATGAGTCTGCAAGTCGTTGACGGACACGATGGATGCGGAGGGGACAGTGACTCACCCCAGCACTCGCCCCACGTGACACCTATTAGCAAGGGCGGTTACTGCACGGGCTGGGGGCGCTTGAGACCTTGGCACACGCCCGGGCTCAGACTCAAGGGCTGGGGAGCCGTGCCCTTGCTAACTGGGAATCACCTTTGGCTCCTGGTGCTACCAGCCCCCTTGAGAGGACATCCCAGGTGGTGGACACCCCCTTCGTGCCCTTCCTGGGCTGTCTGTTCCCCACCCCAGACAGGGAGCTGCTACCACAGGTGGTACTAGGGCAGGGCCAGGGGCTGCAGACATGGTGGGAGGGGACGTTCACACCCTGCAGGGCCAGGGTGACAGAGTCCGAGTCTCAGGACCCACCCCGGCCCCGGCTGCGCGGTGGCAGCGTGGTCCCGGGGCTGGGCGGGCGCAGCAGGCCTCAGCATGGTGGCTCAGGTTCCTGACGGTTGAGACTGGAGTGTTAGAGGGAGGAGGCCAGGCGGGAAGGGACAAGCAGTTACTTCACAATGTTTAAAAAGTTACAAGTAGGTTAAAGTAAAAAATAACGAATCTGGACACAACCAGGCACACCCTCAGAGGAGCACGCAGGACTGCAGGGCGCCGCCCTTCCGGCCGCCATGCGTGGGCACGGCCTTGCCCTTCCCGTAGTAGCCGGTGAAGATGGCCTTGGTCTCCATCTTCTTGGCCAGGCTCAGCACCCAGCGCCCGCTGCCCAGCGAGAGGAGCTTGCCTCGGGACAGCTCACCCACCTCCTCGCCGCGACTGCCCCCCTTCTCCTGCCGCACGATCTCCAGCAGGTCGAGCCCGGTCTGCACCGCCTCCACGTCGGCCGCGTAGCCCAGGGTGATGTGGGCGCGGCTGCCGCGGGGCAGGTTGTCGGAGGGGGACAGCTTGTCCACGTCCCCTGGCCAGAGCTGCAGCTCCTGCTCGCCCAGCTCCACGCGGGCCCCCACCGTCTTGGGCGTCACGAAGAGGGCGGAGATGGTCAGCGTGAAGGCCTTGCCGTAGCCCTTCTTCACCGCCTGCAGAGCACAGAGGACCTGCTGGGGCAGCCGCCTCGCCAAGGTCATGGGGGCCTTCATGCATGCCTCGGCCTGGCCCCCGGCCCAGCCCGGGTCAGCAACCACTGGGCCAATGCCACCACAGTCACCACTCAGCTCTCCTGGCCACAGGGAAGGGGGCACCTGGGCGTCCAGAGCCCCCCCCAGCGCTGCCCCTCACGGCCCCTTCACAGCTGCTGCGGTTCTGCTCCCAGGCCTTGTGCCCACGGCGCCTGGCCTCTTAACAGGAGCCTCACAGAGACGGCGCCCGTCACCTGGGCTGCCCTCAGCTTCGGGGCACTGGGAACGGAGGGTGACAACTGAAAATGCCCGGCCGTGGGGAGTGGCCATTGAGGGGAGAAAGCAGCCAGCGGTGGAGACCCAGGCGGAGCAGGGGGTGGCAGGGAGGCCCAAGGGGCCAGGTGTCTCCCCTTGCTACCCAACCCCCAATCCAGCTGGGCTGTGGGCACCATCTGTGGTGGCCGGGGTCTGTATCCCTAGCAGTCAGTGGCACCGTCCCAGGTCAAGCCCACTCGGGGGCAGGGGACTTAGTGTAGGCCACAGAGGCCCAGAAGGAGCCCACTTTCGGCCTGGGTACCGGCGGGCAGCGGCCGGGTCGCACTCACCTCCTGCTGGGCGTACTCCTCGGCACCGGGCGCCTTCCCGTAGTTACAGAACTTGGTGGTGCAGTGCAGCACCCCCGGGGGTCTCTTCCCAAAGTAGGTGAGCAGGTCGATCTTCTCACGGGGCTCGTCCCCAGGGCCGACTGCAGGAGAGACAGCAGGGAAAAGACCGGGTGAGCATGGGCTCTGCACAGTCGGATTCGGGGCCCTGGGTACAGACTGAAGGGTGCCAGGCTAGCGGCGATTTCAGGACTGCAGGGTATTTAAGGCTGGCGCGTGGCTCAGGAGCAGAGCACCTGCCTAGCACGCATGAGGCCCTGGGTTTGATCCCCAGCACCCCAAAAATCCCCAAGTCCTAAATGCCCTAGCTTTATAGCATGTGTATCTTTTGTGGGGGCAGATACTAGGAATCGAACTCAAGACCTTGTGCTTGCAAAGCAAGGTGCTGTGCCACTGAGCTATCTCCCCGGCCCCGCATGTGTATGTTGACATCCACCCGTTGCCCAGGCTCTCGGGCACCTGTGACCCAGGGTGGGCAGCACAGGCAGAGGCTTCAGAGATGGACATCAGCTCACAAAGGAAAGCGGACAGCCAGTCGTGACAGCTGGGCCACGTGAAATGGCTCGGAGCGGACAGTGCCATAAGAACCGCAGTGACATCTGCCACCTACTAGCCCTGTGGTCTCGGGCAGGTAGCTGACCCTTAACCCGCTGACAAGGACAAGGAGACAAACCGCCTCAGACATCACGGCACTTCACGTCACCCAATGGCCCACTGGGACCAGAAGCTAGTGGTGACCACAGTGCCACTCGGGTTTGTCTGGGGGAAGGGCCTGGCCAGGCGGGGTCCCGCGGACAGCGGGGCTGGTGGATCTGCGAGCCCATCTGCCAGCCTCCCGGCCTCGCAGCTGCCTTCAGAGTCCTCAGCTTTCTCCTGCCTGTCCCCAGGATGGGGGACGTCCCCTGCCTTCCCCGGCAGGAAAGGAGCCCAGCGCCAGGGCACCAGTAGCTCTGGAAGGCAGATCTGCCAGGCTCTCCCCGAGCCCCTCGCAGAAATAGGGCTGGCTGTTTCCCCAGGGGCTGGGCTTCAGGACAAAGCGGCCTGAGGCCTCCCAGAGGCACATTCGAGCCCCCAAGCAAGCCGGGCCGGCCACAGGCGCGGCAGGGGTGGCAAGCCCGCGCAGCGCCTCAACCGGCCAGGGTGCCAGCTCCGGGCAGAAAACCCCACCGCTCCGGGCCTGCGTCCCCACTCTCTGGAAAGCCAGGAGCTTTCCGACCGGGCGTGACACTCGGTTCTTTGGAGTCGTGCGATGCCACAGGGTCTGCAGGCCTGGCAGCCGTCCCCAGGAAGTCTCAACAGCTCGGTCAGGAGCCCATGCCGCCGTGCTTTGGAACGTGGTTCTGCTACTAAAAGTGAGTTTGCCAGCTGGGCCGGGCGCTCCCTCTGTGGGTGCGCTGCAGGGGGCTTTTCCCTGCTGTAAGACGGTCGCCTTCCCCCTGCGACACGGGTGCCAACTGGACGCAGCCCGGGAGGGTGTCGGGGAGAAGCGGCCCGCAGGAAAGCTGCTGCGGCCGGCCAGCCCCCGCCGTGCTCCGCCCCATTGCTGCCTCCAGCTGGCCAGGCAGCCTCCGCCCGTCGGACACACTCGGGGCACACAGGGGCCCCATGCCCACAGGCCAGGCTGGGAAGGAGGCGGCGGCACCTCCCACGACCCGGGCCACCTACAGTGTCGGAGCTCCTTCCTGAAGGCCTTGTGGCTCCCCAGCTCCTCCAAGAAGACCTGGCCGGCCTTGCGGAGGGCCTCAGAGCTCTTCTTGGTCAGGAACCAGCCGAAGTAGAGCGGCAGGTAGTCCTTCTCCAAGCCGGGCTTGAGCTTCTTCAGGTCCTCGGCCGACAGCTGCCACTGGTTCTTCTCCTTGAGCTGGGCACAGTCCAGCCGCCACGCCGTCTTGGGCTCCACCAGCAGCACCTGGTACTGGTACTGGTCAGCCAGGTCGAAGAGCTGCTCCAGCCGCTCGGGCTCGTGGTTGGTATCGTCAAGCACCAGCACCCTGACGTCACGGCGGCAGTAGGCGGCCAGGTCCTCGTCCAGCCGCTTGTACTCCTCGGAGAAGGGCCCCCGAGGGCCGGGCGTGATCTTGTAGGTGTCGGCGGACACCAGCTTGGTGCCGTCGCGGTACTTGTCCACGATGGCCTGCGCCAGCGTGGACTTGCCGCTGCCCGGGAGGCCGCGCAGGACGAAGAGGGTCTTGCACTCGTGCAGCGCGGCCACCGTGGCCTCGTCCTGGAAGAACGGGAACTGCAGCTCGGGCTTGTCCCTGGCGCCCGCGGAGGACATCTTGCGGAGGAAGATCTTGGGCAGGAACGCGTGGCTCTTTCGGGAGAAGCCTCTGTTCTGTGTGGAGGGAGAGGAGACGTCAGCCCCGATTCCTCGAAGTCCCCGTCCCTGGGCCGGTTCTAGCGGGAAACTGGCTTGGGCGCCCCGGGGCCGACTGTGCTGCCCTGGCTGGGCACGTCCTGGGCAGGGCAGTGGTGGCCCTGTCTTCCCCGCGGTCCCTGGGATCACGCACCGCGTGCCCTAGAGGACGCGTGGTGGGGTACGCGCAGGAGGGTGGCTCTGTTCTGCCCTCGCCCTCTCCCCGCGGCTCGTGGCACCTCCGGTGACGTCCTCTTTGGAGCCGGGCACTGAGTCCGGGCAGAGCCCAGCTGCCCTGGCTCTCGGGGCAGAGGCGGTGGGGGTGGAGGAGGGTCGCCCGAAGGCTGCCCGTCCCCCAACAATGGCAGCGGCAGATAATACCCTCTTGTCCGGGAAAGGGGCACAATGGACCGACAGAGGGCTGCTGGGGGCAGGGCGGGAGGCCGGGGCACAAAGGGCCTCATTCAGCGCGGCCACCTCCTCTTCGCCCTCTCCGGCCCCCGCAAGGCCGCGGCCTCTGTGCCTGCCCCAGGCTGGGGCGCGGGGCACCTGGCCCGCCCGCCGTGTGTCTGATGGGCCTCTCTGGGCCGCCGCTTCCGCCCGCTAAGAGCAACAGGCGACGCCGGCACCCCGCGCTGCCACCTGCTCGGCTCCCAGGCCGG